GAGTACTGACTATCTATCCCATGGACTGCCAAAAGAACAGCTCTGTCTGGAGAAGGTGCAGCCAGAGCGTGCTCCTCGGAGGTGAGGATGGGGAGACCCAGTGTCACCTATCTGGACAAGTTATCAGAAGGTGGAGGCCCTGGAAAAGGTCACCAAGCTTGGACAAGTAGAGGGTTCAGTGAAGGGGGCAGGAAGACCCTCAATGAGATGCGCTCCGCCTGCACACAGCAGAGATTGTGGGTGAGAATGGTGCCGAGCTGGGCAAGGCTTTATCTGCTGTCTGAGGGTTTCTACAGGTTGGACGCTATTTGACAGCACCTAACAGTACTGCCTAGTTTTGACTGCAAATACTATGGCCTGAGTCAGGTTCAGCTTAGTCCTCAAAGTGCCATCTTTGTTCCCCAAGGGTTTGAAGGAATCTTTTGCAAACTGGCCCGATTCAAGGTGGCATCTACTTTCTTGACTGCTACTTCCATGAACACTGAGTGTGGATCCAAGTAAAGCGAGTTCCTAGATAGAGTCAACCTTTCCTCTGCTTATCATGACGCTGTTTGATGGTCCAGGTGTGGGGAGTCCTGTGTTCTTCACCTTCAGGTGGAATCCACACTGATCTTCATCAGGAAGTGCTTCAAGGCCTCTTAGCTTTCAGCGAGCGAGGCTGTGCTGCAGGCTGGTAACGAGCCGGGCTTCAATCCTGATGCTACGTCTGTCTTGTTCAAGTAGTCCAGCGGCTCAAAGTTATCTGCTCCGCACACAGACTCAGGGAGTCTTGCGAAAGGACACAACCTTGACACACAGCTTTCCCGATCTTCAACCCTGCACCATCCTTTTGCTCTGTGTACCTCTTGGTCTGTGGGCAGTTTCCACACGAGCACAATTAAGCACTCATTGTTTGAAAAACCACCAATAATTTGTTAGGATCCACACAGCCAAACACCTCTGCACATCAATAACACACAGGTAAACATGTTTCTGGGACTGTCGGACTCAGTCAAGACCCACCCGCTGTGAACCGTGAAGAGCAGCGGCTGTCTGGTCAGTTCTGACCCAGGCAGACCAGGTGTGTGGGGCGGAGCTGCCCCCACAGGCTGTTCCCGGCCAGGACCTCTTGGAAATGAGTCACCAGGCCTCTCTCCCAGGGTGGCTCTAAACAGAAACCCCACCGCCCTCAAGTCAGTTCCAACACATGGCAACCCTCCGGTGGGTTTTGTGGCTGTCAATCTTCACAGGAGTAGACGGCCGTAGCTTTCCCTTGAGGGGCAGCTGGTGGGTTCAAACTGGTGGCCTCTCAGTTAGCCAGTCCAGTAAGTAACACACCAGAGCTGGGGCCAAGTCACCAACCATTTGGTCAGCAATTGAGTGCTTCAAGGCTTGCACCACCAATGATCTCAAGGGGCTATGAAGGGTGAATTTTCATTGTCCTTGAACCCTGAGAGGCCCTGGAATGGGATGGGGTGGGGAAGGGTCTTTGGTCCATGGCAGAGACCTGTGTGTATAATGTACAGATTCTCGTGCTTGGTGGCCTGTGTCACTGAGCTGACTGCCTTGGCATGCCTCACCTACCCGGAGAGAAATGCCATCCTCACATCCACCTGTGTGCCTGAGCTCATCGCTGTGCCACTGGTGGCCCTCGACTTCACCAAACACGAGGTCCTCTTCCGCCAACTGCCCTCTCCTGACGAGTTGGGCAAAACTCTTTTGTGACCCAGTGTTTTCACTGGCTAATTCTTGGAAGCAGTGTTTTCACTGGTTAACTCTTGGAAGTCAATCTCCAGGCCTTTCTTCCTAGTCTGGAAGCTCCCCTGAAGCCTGTCCACCAGGAGAGATTCTGCTGGGATTTAAAGTTCCAACAGCAAAGTCCCCGGTGTCAAGGCAGCAGATGCCACCATGGTATTAAACCGATGGCAGGTGGTGGGACAGAGCAGGTGACCCACAAGACTAACCTGTTACTGTCAACACCGTGTTCAAACCGCTGACCTGAAGGGTTAGCAACACTAGCAACACAGCACTTAGCCCACCACACCACCAGGGCTCCTTTGTACAGCACTGTTGTTGTGTACCACTAAGTCAGAACTGATCCACAGCTGACCCTCCGGTGGGCTTCCAGAGGCAGTTTAACCAATTGACCACCCTCCCGCGGGGCAGCTGGAGGATTTGAACTGCGGGCCTTCGGGACTGCAACGCAGCTTCTTACCAGAGGCACCAAGTGGGTACAGCAAGGAGTCACAGGGTCACCACACCCCGGCATTGTCAGCTGGGCGGACCTGACACCCTTTCAGCATCTACGCCCCAGGGTACCCACAAACTCCGCTCTGCGTTTATGTTTATCCTCACTCCCCCTTTGTAAGGTGTCTTCGTCACCTAGTGCTGCCACGATACCCCAGTGTTCAGAAAACAGAAATCCGTTTTCTCAGTTAGAGGCTGGAAATCTGAACTAAGGGCAGGTCTCTGGGGAGAGCTCCTCCCTCGTCTGCTTCAGCGGCTGTTGTTGTTCATGTCCGTGCAGCTGACCTGTGGTGACCCTGTGCACAGTGGGACTGGACGACTGTGATCCAAAGGGTTTCCAGAAGGAGACTGCCTGGCCTTTCTTCCTAGTCTTAAGTCTGGACGTTGTGCTGAAACCTGTTCAGAATCCTAGCAATAAGTGAGGCTCTGCTGATGGATGGGTGAGCGGTTGCCCACAGGAGTCAAACCTGGCTGGGAATTGAACCTGCGTCTCTTGCCTCAGAACCATCATGCCTCTTTCAGCTGCTACTACTGTTATGTCCCATCGAGTCGGGACCAGCTCCAAGTGGCCCTTCCAGTGAGTTTTCAGAGGCTGTGACGGGAGGGGACTCCCCACCTTCCTCTCCTGGAGCAGCTGGTGGTTTGAATCACGTGTGTTTGGGTTGGCAGCGCAGCCCCTTGACACTAAGTCCGCACTTGGAGGAGTAGGAGTTGCCAGACCCCTCGATGCTTCTGCCCTAGGAACCTGTCTTCACATGGTGCCTTCCCCGTTTGGGTCTCTAAGTCTTTTCTGCTCTTTTCATAACTCAAAAGTGATTCAGTTTAGGATGCATCAAATGCTACACGACTCTAATAACATAAAACCCTCATCTCCAAACAGCATGGTGCCGACAGGAGAGATTAGGATGCCAGTGTGTATTTGGGCAGGGAATGGGGTGCATCACACAACTCCATCCATGTCATAAGGTGAGTGCTGACAACACAAGCCTCCATTGTGGGTGATTCGTTGATACTCGCTAACCTGAATTTCCTTTTCCTAATGAAAGCAGTCCTAGTGGCATAGCAGTGAAGCACTTGGCTGCTAAGTCCAAGGTCAGGAGTTTGAGCCCACTTCCCACTTACTGGAAGAATCATCAACAACCTGCGTTATGCAGATACTACAACCATGCTTGTTGAAACTGAGGAGGACCTGAAGCGCTTGCTGCAGAAGGTCAAGGACTGCAGCCTTCAATATGGATTGAAGCTCAACATCAAGAAAACAAAGATTCTCACCACTGGGCCAAGTGGCAGCATCAGGATGGATGGTGAAGAGACTGAGATAACAGTTTTAGGTTACTTGGCTCCACAGTCAATACTTTTGGTACCAGTAGCCAGAAAATCAAGAGACGAATTGCACTGGGAAAGTCAGCTGTGAGGGACCTCTCAAGAGTACTGAAGAGCAATGATGGCAGGCTGGAGACTAAGGTGTGCCTGATCCGGGCTATAGTCCTGGCACTTATGTGCTATGCATCAGAGCTGGACAGTGACTAGAGATGATAGAAAGAGAAGTGATGCCTTTGAGCTGTGGTGCTGGAGAAGAGTGTTGAATATACCATGGACTGCTAGGAAAACAAACAGGTTTGTCCTGGAGAGAGTGGAGCCGGAATGCTCCTTGGAGTCAAGGATTCTGAAGCTTCGTCTGACATAGTTTGGGCATGTTGCACGGAGGGATTGGTCCTTGGAGAGGAACATCATGTTTGGCAGAGTGGAGGGACAGTGCAGGCGAGCAGGACCCTCGATGAGATGGATAGATTCTGTGATTGGGGTGGTGGGAGTGAGTGTCAGAGATGGTGAGGTTGGCACAAGGTAGAGCAGGGTTTAGGGCTCTTGTACATAGGGTTGCTATGAGTCGCAAGTGACTTGATGGCACGTAACAACAACCCACTTACTCTGTGGGAGAAAGATATGGTGGTCAGTTCCATCAGGATGACAGCTTTGGAAGCCCTAGGAGGGCAGTTCTGCTCTGCTTTGTAATATGGCTGCTATGAGTCAAGATCACTTTGATGGGACACAGCAACTTTCAACAAATTAAGAGTACTCTACAAACTGGGTCTTCGTCACCTGAGTTGACTCCACCTCGGGATCAGCAGGGAGGAAATCAGAAGATGTGTTGCACCGGAAAAGTGTGAACACAGGAACTTCTCCAAAATGCTGAAGAGCAAGGATGTAAGTTTAAGGACTAAGATGTGCCTGATTGAATTCTTTGCAATTTACTTGCTATGTATCTGAGAGGAGGGCAGTGAATAAAGATGACAGATGAGGAATCAACACCTTTGAGTTGTGGTGCTGAAGAAGAACATAAAATACCCCATGGACAGCCAAGAGAGCAAATAGATCTTAGAGAGAGTGCAGCCAGGAAACTTCTCATACACTTTGGGTATGTTGTTAGAAGGGCGTCTTTGGAAAAGGACGTCATACTTAGAAAGGTGGAAAGTCAGCAAAGGAGGGGAAGACCCTCAACGAGATGGACCGACACAGTGACTGTAACAATGGGCTCTAGTGTAGCAGAAGTGAAGCGGATGGCACACGATAAGGCAGGGTGCAGACCTGTCACTCATACAAGTCATTCTTGACTCCATGGCATCTAACAACGAACAAACAGGTGGTGTAAATGGTCTGCGCCCAAAAACAAACTGTAAAGGTTGTAGGTGTGAGCCTTGCCCGTGGCATGGTAGAAAAGCTTTGGTAAATGAGGGCCGCTCCCTCTGGAGCCATTCTAGTCTGCTGGGGTGCACTGGGGACCCTGGCAAGCTGCTGATTTACCCTCCCTCCCTCCCCCCTCCATGATGAGAATGTTCACACCACAAGCCACCTGCTCAGATGGGTCTCCTACTCTCAGCTCTCCTTCACCTCCTCAAACCATCCAAAGACAATGCACTGAGAAAATGTCCTGGGATCAGAGTAGCAGAGGCTGCACAGCTGTGAATATACTAGAAACTATAGAGTCACAGCTTAAAAGGTGAGTTTCATGGGACATATCTCAATAAAGGGTTAATACTAGTTTAAAATGTAACCACTCAGAAAGTTAAAAGTGTATCCTTTACACAATTGAACCTTTATAATTCTTTTTAAAGCCATGACATCACTGTGGGATTTGCTACTTTGGATACAGTCCACAGCACTGAAAACTACTTTCAGTTAAAATGAAGTTACAACTATGTATCTATACAGATCTCAAGTGCCTTCCTCATGTTATCAGAAGGTGTCAGCCTATCAGAGAGGGACAGGAAGCTTGGAAAAGTGCAGGGTTTAGTGAAAGAAAGGTCGATTCTCAAGGAGATGGGGCTGCAGTGACAATAACGACGGGCATCGGGACAGCAGGGACTGACTGTGAAGCTGGCACACGGACCAGGCAGGGTTTTGCTCTCTTGTACCCAAGGTCACTAAGAGGGGGGAGCTGGCTGCACCTACCAACCAACATCTGTTTCTACCCAGAGGAGTTCCTGGCTAGTGCTGTCAACTTGGAAATTGGAGTCCACTCAAAAGCAGCTCAGAAGAACGGCCTGGTGACTTCTACTTCTGTTAAAGCCACTGAAAATCTCCTGGAAGGTGGCTTTTCTCTGACATACACAGACCGCCATGCTTCAGAATGGCAACAGATTCTTCAGCAACAATAACAACATGCAAGCGGCTTTTCTAACCAGTTTCCTCCCCCTCCCCCAGCCAGTTACATTCCTCCTCCAAAAACATGACTCCGGGCAGTTCCAGAGCTTGCACTGCTTTGCACCTGGAGGGAGAAGTTTCATGGCAGTGGCTCCCAGAGGAAGGAAAATGCAGCTAGCAAACAGGCACACGCACACTGGCTGGGTTAACTGAGTCCTCTGGGTTCTCACAGCTTTCAGAGTCAGCCACCAACATGTGTGAAATGTCACGGGCAGGATCTGAAGAAATGGAGACGGGACTCACAGGGCGGGAGGAAGGAGGAAGGAGACCTTGGCATCAGGGGCAGAACTATGCCAAACACGTGGTAGGTAAACACCCAGGAAGGCTCAGCGGTGACCACATCCCTAGTCCTGGAGGCTGGTGACAAGCAAGGACAAGGGCCTTACAGCCCTAATTGCTACTGTGAGACATGAAAATTATGCGTCGGCTTTGGTCAGAAACACAGGTGCCACCTCAACTTCCAAAAGCAGAGAGAGAAAAAAGGTTTCTCTCTTCTATTTCTTTTACATGTGTGATTTTAAAAATGAGCCAAGTTCTACCAAACCAAATCATGATTACAAAACTTATACTGACTAAGCCGCACGCGTTTCTTTAACCCAAGTCATCTGGGTAGTGTCCCGGTGGTTAATGCCACTCCTGTTGTGAACCAAAAGGTCAGCGGTTCAAATCCACCAGGGGCCCTGTGGGAGAAAGGTGTGGCAGCCTGCTGCTGCAGAGATAAAGCCCGGGAAACCCTCTGGGGCAAGTTAGTTCTACTCTGTCCTGCAGGGTCACCCTGAGTGGGAATTGACTTGACAGAAACAGGTTTCGTGCGTAAAGTTGAACTAGTCCTATAGGCAACGACATCCACATTTTCCAGCCTCTTTATTACTTCGAATGTCAGCCGGAAAAGACAAGCTCAGGCAAGTACAAGTATGTGAGGCACACATGGGAGGAAGGTGCTGCACACGCCATGAGCTCTGCTGCCTCTGCTCTCGTCCATGCCCTCCAACCAGTCCTCAGGCCCCTTCTACGGATTGGGAGACTGAGGACTAGCAAGGTTACATGGCTAATAACTCACCTGAGTCGATTCTGACTCAGAGAGGCACTACTGGACAAAGTGAATCACCCCATACGGTTTCCGAGGCTGCAAAGCTCACCCGGAGCAGACCGTCCCATCTCTCTCCCGCCCAGCAGCCTGTGGGTTCCCGCAGCCACGCCAGGCAGGGCAATCAGGACCAGAACTCAGCTCTGATTTGACCTGTACACCTGGGCTCCTGTCACTTCTCCATACAGCTGCGAGATTAATCATTGACCACACACCCCAGGTCACCCCTTGGCCAGAAGGCTGTTCACATTGTCCTGCACTCCTTCTGTCTCTGGTCAACAAGAGGGGGTCCCTTCAAAGGTCCCAGCTGGAGTCCCACTCCCCGCCCCAAGGTGGGTGTCCCTCAAGAAACTTTTTTACCCTCTTGGCGATCTCGGAGCAACAGGTGGAGAGATTAGGAAGACAGAGACAACCACCAACAAACCAGCCAAGGTGGACAGCAACGAAAGCAGCACCCATCAGCCAGGTGTTTCCATGCAAGGAACAGACCCCAAAGCATGCACACTTCGCAGGGTCTCACCACCCAAAAGCTCAGTGGCTGAGGACACCTGCCCCGGGGGTGAGGCGGCCTCTCGCATGCTCAGGTGCAGAGTGGAGTTCCAGCGGCCAGGAGGCCCCCGATCTTGCCCAGGACGCTCCTTTGGGGGGGGGGGGGGACCGAGGCTGGAGGCCAATGCCCTTTCCCGCTTGAGGAGGGGGCTGCACCGCCAAGGGCCGGGGCCTGCGGGCAGCGTCTCCGCCCATGCATTCTCCGCGAGCACCTCCAGGCCCCCCAGGGCTGCAGCCTCGGGACGCCCGGGCGGAGGAGACCCCGGGGTCGGCCGGTGGGAGGGCCTGGGGCAGCCCAGGGGTCCAGCGCCGGGTCTGGAGGCGCCCTCCCGGAGACCGAGGCCTCCCTCCCGGACCCTTCGCCCCTTCTGACCCGCTCCGCCGCTCTCACCTCGCTCCTGTCCCCGCGGGTCACTCGCTGTCCGCTCTGAAGCCGCTCTGCCAACCGCTGCAATGCCTCTCCCGGAGGCACAGCTGCCCCCAGTGCGGAGCCGGAAGCGGGAAGCCGCAGAGCACGACCTGCGCAGGCGCAGTCCCATCATTCTGGATGAGACGGGGCGTGGCTCACGGGGGTGTGGTCTTATGGGCGTGGTTTTGTGGGGCGGGGCCAGAACCTCGGACTTTGCCTGGGGCTGGACCCTGGAGCTCCAGGGTCTGTGTGTCCGCCAGACGTCCTCGTGGGGAAAGGGGAGGTGAAGCGAGGATTTGCCGATGAGGAAGCCTCTTAGGGAACACAAGCAGGACGGGCGGGCGCCTGCGGTGGTCAGCAGACTTGAGGGCACTTGAAAAGGGAGGGTCAGAGGGTCAGTAGGGTCTGGAACCTGGGAGGCAGAGCAGGCTACAGAAAGGATCATCTGGGGAGAATGAGTTAGGTTCTACCTGTCAGGTGTCACAGGTACCATGAGATACTCCAAAACACATATTCAAAGATGCCTCTAAGTACCCCCAAAATGACATTCCGAATATGAAAACCACACAATCAGAATCACGCAAAAGATCTCCAAGTGCCAGACACCTCCATCAGATGCCACCAGACTGGGTTTTCGACACCCAGAAACCTCAGAGACTCTACATGGGGAATTCCAGACACTCCAAAACATACTACACAGCCCAGTACAGCCCCCATGTGATACTCCCGGATTCTGAAACTCTAGGTAACACCCCCGCAAGTTCTATGCCTGTAGACACACCCCAAGTGCCCTGGACGCCAAAAGTGGTTAAGTGCGTGCTTGACAGACAACTAGCCAAAATCTGGAAAATTCTGCAGTTGTTGTGTTTGTTTTGTTTTTGTTTTTTTTTTATTATTATTTTTTTGTATGTGTACCGTCAAATCAGATCTGACTGGTACAGGAGGCGATTGTCCCTCCTTCTCCAGCAAAGCATCTGGGATTGCAGTGCAGTTTCTTGCCACTAGGCCACCAAAGCTCACCAAATTCTGCAGTTTTGAACCCACCTAGGGAACCCTGGTGGCCTAGTGGTAAGGAGCTGTCCTGCCAACCCTAAGCTCAGTGGTTTGGATCCACTAGCTGCTACACAGTTGAAAGATGGGCAGTCTCCTCCCATGGGATTTAATGACTCTGAAAATCTGCTGGGGATGGGGTCAACTATGGGTTGGTTCCAACACTCCAGTCCTCAACAAGAGGTGCCTCAGAAGAAAGGCCTGGTGATCTGGTTCTGAAACGTCACAGCCACTGAGCATGGTGGAACGGCTCTACTCTGACACTCACAGAAGTCGCCACAAGTCAAAATCAACTTGATGATGACTGGTAAGTAAGGTTTTTTGGTTTTGTGCACATGCTAGGCTTTCCCCAGTGCCAGCAGCCCTCACATGCTGTTATGACATCCCAGCCTTGACCCTTCATGCCCAGCAGCCCCCCACAGTCAGGGCAGTTGGTCAGTAATCAAGAGTCAGCCAAGTGGTTCTCATCCAAGATCCAGACAGGCTGAGAGGAACTCCTCAAACTGAACTACTTCATAGCATGCCTTCTTGTGGTTGTTAGGTGCCGTTGAGTCAAGTACAACTCATAGCAACCTTATGAACAAAATATCTGATCCCTGTTTTATCCTGCGCCATCCTCACCTATGACAGGAAATGTGGGGGGATTGGTGAAGGATAACAGAAGAGTCCTGAATGTCCCATGGATGGCCAAAAGAACAAAGATGTCTAGGAATAAGTACAGCCAGGATGCTACTTAGAAGCAAAGATTATAAAGCTTCATCTTACATACTTTAGACATGTTGCTAGGAGAGGCTAATTCCTTGGAAAAGGACATCATACTTGGAAAGGTGGGTGGTCAGTGAAAGAGAGGAAGACCCTCAATGAGATGCATTGACACAGGGCCTGCAGCAATGGGCTCAAGTGCATCAGCAATGATGAGGATGGTGCAGGATAGAACAGGATTCAGATCTGTTATTCATAGCATTGCTTTGAGATGTACTCAACTCGAAAGCTCCTAGCAACAAAATCACCAGAGGGGAAGGGATGGAGCCCTGAAGACACAATGCTCAACTATTAACTGAAAAGTTGGCTTGAATCCACGCTCGACTCCACGGGAGAACAGCCCAGCTGCTGAACTGGTCCCATAAACATTCTTAGCCTTGCAAACGCTATGGGATGGTTCTGTTGTCATGTGGGGTTAATGTGAGTTGGACTTCTTGCTACAACAATTGATGATGTTATATGTTGTTGTTGTTGTTATATGCCATTGAGTCGCTTGCAACTCATAGCGACCCTATGTACAACAGCCCTAAACTCTGCTCTGTCCTGTGCCAATCGCAGTCTCTGACACACCCATCCCGATTACCCCAGTCACTGTATCAATATATAACATGATTAATATAATTGATGCCACTAAATTATACATGTGAGAAATGTTAATGAACCCCCCAATCATATGTGGCAAAGAACTCTCAATCCAAAATCTGGGGGCAATGTCTCCAGACTATAGTATGTCAGTAGGTGACTGCCTTCAGTCAAAGTCCAGTTTTCAGAGTCAAGAGAAGGCAAATGTTCAGGAAACCCAAATTTCTAGAAGTTTAAGGCACTCCTTCACCAGACACCTCACCACAAGGGACCTCAGAAGTCTTAACTCCTTCACTTCAGAGGCCTCAGCTGGTGAGGGCAGCTTCTGACGTGGACTTTATTCCAAAGGCAGTGGGGAGCTATTGAAGGTATGAGGCAGCCGGAGTGGCACGGCTAGATTGGAAATGCAATGAAAGACATGAGACTGCTGTCAAGTCAGAACCGACTCAGCACCAACCCTCTAGCAGGTTTTCAGAGGCTGTACGTCACATTGGAGGAGACTGCTCATCTTCTCCCAACAAGCAGCTGGTGGATTTGAACTGCTGTCCTTGGTTTAGCAGGGCAACACCTTAACCCCTAGGCCACCAGAGCATCCAGCGCTGGAGAGAATGGTGGGCATTTAGGAGAAGTCTTAGGAGACCCAGTCAGATGGTAGACTCATCTGTCCATTGTAGGGTGTTTCACAGCATCGTGGACCTCAACCCACTTGGTGCCACTCACACCTCAAATCTTGACAGCCAAAACTGTCCCCAGACATTGCCATATCTCCCGGAGAAGAAGAAGTAAAATGACTCTGGGTTGGTCAAGTGAGACACCCTGACACTCCTAGGTCACCTGCTGTCAGCTTCTGGGGGGAGCTGGGCTGGGGCTTTGTCTTTCAGGATGAGTAAGAGTTAGGTGTTCCTAACTAAAAGAGAGGAAAAGGGAGTTCCAGGAAGAGCACTGTACAGGCAAGGAGCCGGTGACAAGGGATGTGCACAGTGACCAGAAGAACTCAGAGTGGCTGGCTGAGGAATGTGGGGTGGCCGAGGGAGGGAGGGGAAGGGTCAAGGGCCGGCACAGGATGTTGGGAATGGTGTTCTGTCAACAAAACGGGTGTCTAGGGAAGCCTCGATGCCAGGGAGACCCACCTTTCCTAACTGCCTTCAGGGTGACTCATTCTCTGCTCAGTTTAACTTCCTAGGAAGCTTTTTCCTCTAAGTGATGGCTAATAACGTCTGGCTCTGAATACTTCCCTGCCAGGTAAGCCTGTGACAAGTCCTACTTGGCAGGTATTGGCTCATTCATAGCTGTCCTGGCTCCACCCTCTCCTGGATGGGGTGCAGGGGACCCTGAAGAGAACACTCATGGTTGAGATGATAGCTTTGCCTCTTAGTGACTTTGTTGTTGTGTGCTGTTGAGTTGGAGCTGACCTTAGCTGACCTTCCAGCAAGTTTTCAGAGGCAGTTAATAGCATGGGCGGAGACTGCCTATCCTTCCCCCCCACCTCCCGCCAGGAGCAGCGGGTGGATTCGAACCATGTGCCTTCGAGATTGCAGAACAACTTCTCACTAGGCCAGTAATGATCAAGTGCTCGCCTCGCTCCCATGTAACAGATACTGTGCTAAATGCCACCCAAATTGTTTCTTTCATACTGAATGAAATCTTCCTTAATCTCAAAGGCTGTCACCTCTCAGTGGACTAGAGTTAATGATTCCTTTCCAAAAAAAAAAAGAGTCCCCAATGGGAACACTAATTTTATATAAGGAGCCACCAAACAGATGCCACCTTAGCCAAGTAAGGAAGAGAGACATTGCAGTGACAAGCCACGTAGATGGCACTAAAAATACAGAAATAATTACCATTGAGTTGACGCCCACTCATGGGGACTCCATGTGTCAACACTCCTGACACCAGCAGCCAGGAAATTAAAAGACGTATTGCGATGGGAAAGTCTGCTGTTAGGGACCTCTCCAAAGTACTGAAGAGCAATGGTGTCTAATGTCTCTCTGCAGACTAAGGTGCGTCTGATACAGGCCATGGTCTTTGCAATCAGGTGTTATGTGTCAGAGAGTTGGACAATGACTAGGGAGGATAGAAGGAGAATTGATGCCTTTGAGCTGTGGTGCTGGAGAAGAGTGTGGACTGCTAGGAGAACAAACAGATTCACCCTGGAGAGGGTTAAACCGGGTGGTTCCTTGGAGGCAAGGATTCTGAGGCTCCGTCTGACATACTTTGGGCATGTTGCAAGGAGGGACTGGTCCTTGGAGAGGGACATCATGCTTGGGAGGGTGGAGGGACAGCGCAGGAGGGAAAGGCCCTCTATGAGGTGGATTGATTCAGTGACTAAGGTAATTGGGATGAGTGTATTGGAGACAGTGTGATTGGCACAGGACAGAGCAGAGTGTGGGGCTGTTGTACATAGGGTCGCTATGAGTCGCAGGCAACTTGACGGCACATAACAACAACATGGGGACTCCACCTGTTACAGAGAAGGCCTACTGCAGAGTTTTCTGGGCTGTTACCCTTACAGAAGCAGATGGCCAGGGGTGGATTTGAACCACAAGCCTTTAGTGTAACAGCTGACTGAAAAGGCCAAGCTCCTAGTTGAAATACGATCTGATGATATTGTTGTGTGTGAGGAAGGACTCACAGCTGACCTTCCAGCAGGTTTTCAGGGGCTGTAAATCGAACAGCGAAAGGCTGCACATCCTTCTCCTTCACAGCAACTGGCGGATTCAAACCACTGTCCTTTGGGTTGGCAGCAGAGCTCCTAAGCTCAGCCATCAGAGCTCCCTACAGTGTGATCACATTGTTGTCATGTGCCGATTGTTATTGACCCGATGAACCCTGGGGTCAGGATCTGAACCCTGCCTTATCCTGTGTCATCCTCCTCATGTCTGATTTACTTGAGCCCATTGCTACAGTCATTGTGTCAACTAATCTCATTGAGAGGCTTCCTCTCTTTCCCTGACTATCCACCCTTCTCGGTATGATGGCCTTTTCCAAGGCTCCTCTTAATAACACGCTCAAAATATGTAAGACGAAGCTTCACCATCCTTGCCTCCAAGGAGTCTTCCGATTGCACTTCCTTGCAGACATGCTTGTTTGTTCTTTTGGCAGTCCATGGAATAGTCAGTACTCTTCTTCAACACCATAACTCAAAAGCCCTCCTCCTCCTCCTCCTCTTCTTCTTCTTCCTCCTCCTCCTCCTCTTCCTCTTCCTCTTCATTTTTTTTTTAAATGGAAGTTTATGGAGAACTTGGATTTCCATTCATTCATTGTTGCACATTTTCCTCCCAGCATCTATTCTTCTACTGTCATCCTTAGTCACTACAACTTTCAGATACATAACAAGTAACTGATAAGACAGTGGCTTGAATCAGGCCCACCTTAGTCTTTAAACCGATCTCATCGCTCCTTAACACCTTAGAGAGGTCCTTGACAGACGATTTTCCCAGTACAATACACCTTCTGATTTCTTGACTGCTGGTGCCAAGGGTTATGATTGTAGATATGAAGTGACTGAAATACCACAGCTTGGGTCAAGTGCACTTTAGTTCTCAAAGTGACATCCTTGCTCTTCAGTACTTTAAAGGGCACTTTTGCTTAGTGTACTAAATGGTGTTTGATTTCCTAACTGGCGCTTTCATGGGTGCTGATTCTGGATCCAAGTAAAGCAAAATCCTTGACGACTTCAGTCTTTACTTATGATGTTATTTATTGGCTCCACTATGAGATTTTTGTTTTGTTTTGTTTTACTTTCTTTTTTTTAAATTAAATTTTATTAGTTTTAATGAACATTTGCAGAGATTTTGGGTTTTCATTCATTCATTGTTGTACTGTTTTCTCCACCCTCATCCCCAGTTCGTTCTTCTTCCCCCCATGTCTGTTTTAATTGTCCAGTTGCCACAGTGCTTGTCAAAGCCAGTTCTGATTAATCTCCTTTGTCAGTGTGTCCCTTGCCATTCCCTATCACTCCTCCCTGAGAGAGACTTCACCCTGAGTCATAAGGAAAAGGGGATGGCGTATTCTCTTAGCTACTTCCTGCTGAAAAGGGATGCTGTGGGTTTCAGGGTCAAGGTCTTCTCTCACTACTCTAAAGGGCCCCTTTGGCAGTAGGAAACACATAGACTATTATGGAGATTGATTTTGGAATTTAGATGCACTTGTTTTACTTTCGTTGACCTGCTTTCCACACCGAAGGCTATAGCCTTCGATATTTATCATCAAATGCCTCAGTCCTCTTAGCTTTCAGCAAGCAAGGCGTGTCATCTGCATATGAGAGGCTGTTAATGAGTCTTCCTCCAGTCACATAGCCTGACTTGTCAGATTGAATAAGTATTGTCAAAGTATATACACCTAAAGCATACCTTTCTTGATTTTTAACCCACGAAGTATCCCCTTACTTTAAAGATTTCTTGGTGTACGTAAAGCTTTTGCATGAATCAATTATGTGTATGATTACAAGATTCTGGTTTTCACAAATGCCTTCAGCACAGCTTGGACATCTTCCTTCAATACCATGAATTTCTGAGATGATTTTTTTGGGTTTTGTTTGTTGTTGTTTTTTGTACAGTGACTCTGCGTATCCCTTCTATCTTCTTTTGATGCTTCTACCTTCCTTTTGATGCCATTCAACATTTCCCTCACAATCCTTCACGATTCAACTCAAAGGCTTATTTCTTCCATTGTTTCATCTTGAGAAATGCCCACCACGTTCTCTTGGTCCCCCCAGGCCTTTGCACATTTCAGTGTAATATTGTATCTTCTTGAGCTTCCCTTTGAAATCTTTTCAGCTCTCTTTTTTCATCATTTCTTCCCCTGTGTTAACTTTTCTAAGTTATAGAGCAAGTTTCAGAGTCTTTTTGAACACCCGCAATGGTCTTTCTCTCCTGTATTTTTAATGACCCCTTGTTTTTTCCACGTCTACTGTCCTTGATGTAATTCCCCCACTTTCCAGTCTTTGGTAGTTAATATTCAATACATCAGATCTACTCTGAAGATGGTCTCCAAATTCATGGGAATGTACCAAAGGTCACACTTTGTCTTTGTGGACTTGTTCTTTGGCTTCAGTTTGAACTCACACAAGCAATTGATGGTCTATTCCACAGATGGTCCCTGGGCTAGTTCTGACTGATGATATCAAGCTCCTTCACTGTCTCTTTTGATTCCTGAGTATTCCATTTGGTGACGTCCACATGGACACTCACCACTGATGTTGTTGAGAAAACGTATCTTGTCATGAGTAAGTTGTTAGTTGTGGACTATCTCATCATATGATCTCCAGGGTCATTTCTATTACCAAAGCAGTATTTACCCAACTACTGATCCTTCTTCCCTTCCAACCTTTGTCTTCCAGCCACCGGTAATTAGTGACTCATCTTGATTTCATGTTTGAGGAAGCTCTGACTTCAGGAGTTAGTAGTAAGCCTCAGTTTCATCACCTTTGGCTTTAGAGGCTGGTGTATAATTGGAATAATAAGTTGTCTTACAGGTCTTCCTTGGAGACCTATGGCTATTATCCCTGATGGACAGCACTGCGTTTCAGGAAAGATCTTGAAATCATCTTGATGTTGAAGTGACAGCACTCCTCTTCACTTTGTCATTTCATTCTTGACATAATTGACCGTAAGAATCAGATCCCAAATGCCCAGTGCCACCGGTCCACTTCAGCTCACTAATGTCTGAGCCATTGATCTCTAGCTGCTCCATTTCACAGTTTCCAGCCCTCCTTGAGTCCTACTCCATACAGTCCATGTCCTAATCACTGGCGGCTGCATGCAGCTGTTTCTTCTTATTTTGAGTTAGGCCATGTCAGCAAAGGAAGGTCTTGAAAGCGTTACTTCATTCATGCCTTTAAAATAGGTTCTACTATGAGGAAACAGCCTTTCTGCAGCTGTATCTTGTGTGCCTTTCAACCTGAGAGATGCATCTTCCCGCAGCATTTTGTTGATTGTTGTTATGTGTCTTTGAGTCACCTGTGACCCATAGAAACCCTACGTACAAAAGCTCTGAAGTCTGCCATGTCCTGGGCCGGTTTCACTGACTCTGACACACCTACCCCCATTGCTCCAGTCACTGAATCAATCCATCTCATTTGGGGTCTCCCTCTCCTGCACTGCCCGTCCACCCTTCTGAGCATGATGTATTTCTCCAAGGATTGTCCCTCCTGGCCATGTGTCCAAAGTATGTGAGTTGGAGCTTCAAAATCCTAGCCTCCAAGGAAAAACATGGTTTTACCCTCTACAAGACAGACAGACCTATTTGTTTTCTTGGTGGTCCATGGTATGTTCAAGACTCTTCTCCAGCACCACAACTCAAAGGCATTGATTCTTCTTCTGTCATCCTTAGTCATTGTCCAGCTCTCTGATGCACAGCAAGTAATTGTGAAGACTATGGCCTGGATTAGGCGCACCTTAGTCTCTAGGAAGACATCGTTGCTTCTCAGTATTGTGCAGAGATCCCTGACAGCAAGCAGACTTCCCCAATGCAGTTCATCTTTTGAGTCCCTAACTGCTGGTGGCAAGTGTGCTAATTGTGGAGCCAAGCAGGCTGAAATTGTTAACAATTTCAGTTTCTTCTCCATCTATCATGGTCCTGCCAGTTGGCCCAGTGATAAGAATCCATATTGAAGACAACCGTCCGTGACCTTCTGCAGCAAGCGCTACAGCACACAATAGTCTCCTCCTCTTCCTAAACTCTTCACTGGCTGATTATTCCAGAAGTACACTCCCAGTCCTTTTTCCTTGCCCGTGTCTGAGCTGGGAAGCTCTGCTGGAACCTGCCCACCATACGTGATCTTGCTGCTAGTTGAAATATTGTTAGCATCACTTCCAGCACATGTATGAGTAGGGTACGACACACTGGCACATGAATGTGAAATTCTCTGTCACCGCCTGCTCTGTTTATGGTGCTGGGGAATTTGGCAATGGATACCAGTGATGGCTGCACCACCTAACTGCAACTACTGAATTATACCCATGAAACAATGCTGAATTGACAAATGTGTTACTGATAGAGCAACTGATAGTCTGCTCTGCACAGGGTCCATGACCTAGTTCTGACTGATAAGACCGAGCTTCACCATTGTCTATTTTTGCACCTGGGTGGTGCAAACAGTTCACACCTGGCCTTAACCCAAAGGTTGGAGGTTCAAACCTACGCAGCAACTGCTTCTGTAAAATTACAGCCATGAAAAAACCACACGGAGCAGTTCTAGCCAGTAACACACGTGGATGCCAAACCTCAGAGTCAGTTGGAGGCCATGTTTTGGCTCTGGTGTTAGGGAACCCGGCTGGCAGAGTGGGTGATGTGTTGGGCTAGTTGAAAGGTCTGTGGTTCAAATCCACCAGTTGCACTGAGAGAAAGCGGAGGCAGTCTCTTCCCACAACGATCTACATACAGCCTTAGCATGACAGGAGGTGCCGTGAGTCAGAAGCGAGTTCATGGCAGAGGATCTGTTTATGTCCACACAGGGAGACACAGGGAGACCTTGTAAAGACGGAGGGTTTGGTTCCAGATCATCACCATAAAGTGAGTCAGATGCCTATTTCGTTTTCTCAGAGCATATAAACCTTATGCCAGCACTGCACACCGGTCTATGAGGCATACAACAGTATTATGAAAACAAGGCTTGAACTCTGGTAAGAACGAGCTATATGCCAGGCAGAGACGCCAAGCGGGCCCCTGCTGCAGGAGACACTGTGTCAACAGACTTGCGCTGCCCCTGACTTTCATGTTATTAAAAAAGATGCGATAAAATGAAGTTGCCATAAAATGAGTTACGCTTGTACTGAGAATATGTTTTGTTTTTTTTTAAAGGGTGAACCGACTTCCCCCTGGTCTTACCAGATCTCAGGAAGGGTTTGCCGCACAGGGGGCAGTTGGAGTGGCCACAGAAGGTCCCTGGCACCAGCTGGTGTCCGCTGACACACTCCCGCCTCTCTCGAGCGTCCTGGCCCTTGTCCTTCAGCTGGGCTGGGCTCTTGCCCTGTTGGGGGGAGATGGTCTTAGGAGGGTCCACTCCTTGGGCAGGAGGGCAGCCCGGGGATCCCTGAGCAGGGAGGGCAGAGGGGATGCCGTGGAGGTAGGGTGCACCCCAGTGTGTCCCCCGCCCTGGCCTCTGACCTTCTCCTTCTGCCTGGTGACCCGGCTGCGCAGGGAGCTGAGACTGCGCCTCACTCTGGTGCCTCTGCTGCTTTGCTCTGCTCTGCCTCCACTGTCCTCATTCCTGAGGGGCGGAGAGGTAGATGAGGAGGGGGCTGCGGACAGCCCTGGGGTCACCCTGAGATCCACACGGAACCATCTCCTGGATCCCACCTGTCTTGATTCCCTCCTTCTGGGCCCCTGGCTCCCTCTGGCCTGCTACTGACATCTCCACTCAACACACAATGCCAGGCGTTGGTCAGTTTCAGGGAGGAAGAGCAGAGACTGACATTTGCAGAAAGGAGCCTGAGTATTATCGTGGGTTACAGGTTTTGCCGCTAACCGAAAGGTCATTGGTTCGAATCCACTAGCTGCTCTGAGAGAGAAAGTTGGACAGCCCCCCCTCGTATAGATTTCTAGCCTCGGAAGCTGATTGGAGGCTTGCCAGGGGCAGGAGCAGGCTCGGCAGCTGTGGCTTGTTCCAGTGGCCTTGGGTTTACGAGGTGCAGGGAGTAAGCACTGCAGGTCATGCGAGGGGCCTTGGGGGTCTCCCAGGCTGGGAAGCTTGGCTCTGACCACCTCTGACCCCTTCCCTCTGACTTCCCACCCTGCAGCTACCAGTCAGACTCCAACTCACAGCAGCCCCATGTGTGTCACATAGAACTGTGCTTCAGAGGACTCTCAACCACTATTTTCAGGAATACATTGCCAGGTCTTTCTTCTGAGGCACCTCTAGGTGGTTTTGAACCACCAGCTTTTCATCTAGTAGTTAAGTGTGCCCAGCACTCCTCTCTCCTCCAATATCCAAACCAAAGAGCAAAACCTGTTGCTTTCAAGTGGCTTCATTTTCACTGCTTAGGAAGCTAGTTGGCAAAGAAATCTTGTTGCTAAGTCTCCACTCCATTTATTGGAAAACTCTCTTCCTTCAGGACCCTACTCTAGCGATCACCTCCTCCAGGAAGTCCTCCTGTGTGTACCCTACCCCCAGAGTGCACGAATGGGAGCCCCTTCTTCTCTCATCTTCCTATTGCAGGGAGAGGATGGCGTAGACTCTTGTTCTCCAGCCAAAGCCCAGTCCTGGGGGGCATGGGTAAATACCACCTGTAATTCAGCCCCTGCCCCCACCTGCAGTCCCCAGGTCTACACACTTACTCAGACAGGAACTCGAACCAGGTGATGTTGGAGTGGGGGGGACCAGGGCTGGCTGACAACCGAGCCCTCTGCCGGGACCTATGGGTCAGAGGGGACAGACGTCTGGTCTGGTCAGCCCCGCCTTCTCCATTCAAACCCCCCCCCCCCAGACTCCACAGATCGGTGTGTTTATTACTACCGTTTCCAGAAGAGGGCAGCAAAGTGCCCTGACTGAACAAAAGGTGTGCCAAGGAGCCCTTCTCACCTGAGACACCTTGTTCTCATCTGCATAAATGCACCCCAAAGGCTTGTCAGTGGCACTCCCCAGCTCTTGTCCCCTGCCCTTGTCCCCACCAGTTTCTCCTCTCACATCCCTGTGCCCATTTCTCTCCCTTTCTGCTCCACTTCTGTCCTACCAACATGTCCCTCAGTCCATTCCCACATCTATTTCCAGCATCTCAGTCTGGAGACTAAAATGTGCCTGATCCAGGCCATGGTCTTCACAATTGTTTGCTATGCATCAGAAAGCTGGACAATGGAGGGAGGGATTGCATAACAATGAAAGAATTTTTCTTTCACGTTTCAAAGAGAAGCTCGAACTGGCGGGTGGGGGGAGAAAAGTGCAACAAAGAATGAATGAAATCCAAAGTCTCTGTAAATTTTCATTAAAATTAATAATAATAATAAATTTTTTTTAAAGAAAGCTGAACAATGACTAGGGATGATAGAAGGAAAATTGAGGCCTTTGAATTGTGGTGCAGAGGAAGAGTATTGAATATATACCATGGACTGCTAGGAGAACAAACAGGTTTGTTCTAGAGAGAGTGAGACCAGGCTGCTCCTTGGACACAAGGATTCTGAGGCTTCGTCTGACATATTTTGGACACGTTGCAAGGAGGGACAAGTCCTTGGAGAAGGATGTCATGCTTGGGAGGGTGGAGAGACAGCATAAGAGAGGAAGACCCTCTTTGAGATGGATTGATTCAGTGACTGGGGTAATGAGGGTAGGTGTGTCAGAAACAGTAAGGTTGGCTTAGGATAGAGCAGGGTTCAGAGCTGTTGTACATAGGGTCACTATGAGTGGCAAGTGACCTGATGGCACAAAACAACTCCAGGCGAGATGGATTGACTCAGTGACTGTGGCAGAGGGGTTGGGTACGTCGAGGTGGTGAGTTGGCTCAGGACAGGGCAGGGTTCAGAGCCATTGTTGATAGGGTCACTGTGAATTGAAGTCAACTTAATGGCACATAACAACAACCACCACCCCCCATTGTACCTGTTCCCCAGTTCTGTTCTCCCATGCCTGACCGCACACCTGTTTCTCTCCTCCATCCTCCTTGCTTACCTCCTCATTTTGGTCCCCCACGTTTGTCCCCTCACACGTGTCTCCTTCACCTGATCCTCACACCTGTCTCTTCTTACCTGTCTTCTCACATCTGGTATTCAAACCCCTTTTGTCCATCTACCATGCCTGTCCCCAACACTGGTCTCCCATATCTGTCCTCCCACACCTCTCCCCTCACACGTGGCCCCCACATCTGTCACTCCCTACTCACCCATGGTACTGTCGGAGTTCTTGAAGCACTTGCTGGACGATCAGCCTGGAGGGGGGACAGAGTAGCCCACGGTGGGCCCGGGTTACCCAAGCAGTCCCCAAGAGGACCCTCAAAACTGATTCCTCTCCCTCCCAAACTGGGAGGCCCCACTCCTCTTCTTCGTGGCTGGCTGGGGCCCCTTCTTTGGAAGGATGGTGTGAAGGGTGGGGCAAACAGGTTAGGGGGACTGAGGGGAACAGGCACATGACCTCACCACCTTCTCCCTCAGACTTAACCAAGGGGTGCACCCACTGGAGTCCGTCGGCTGCGGGGAATACTCACACGTGGTCGGGTTCCACGTGGTCCTTTTCCAGGCTTTCCAGCACCGGAGGGTCCAGACCTGCAAGGAGTCCCAGCCCACGATGCACAGGTGTGAAGGGCGCACCTGGGGACATCCTGGACCCACCCTGAAAGCCCCCAGACAGGCAGGCCCACGGACAGCATGTAGCCCCGCCTCTCTAGGGCGGGCCTCCAGGACACCCCACCCCCCCAAGCCCTCCCACGAGAGTCGTTGCGAACCCCTATGGACAGGTTAGAAATGCCCCACACCTGTTTTCAGGATGTAGTGTGAGTTGGTTGTTTTTGTTTTTATTGGGGTTGGTTTTTTTTTAAGCAGCTATTTTATTTGAGTGAAAGTTTACAAATCTGATTTTTCCCAATCATTCATAGGCAGTAATCACCATTAATTGCTGCAATTAACTTATTACAACGTCTAAACAAACTCTTATTATATATTGCTGATCGAGAATGTGATTTTTATGGAAGCAGATTGATGGCCATGTCTTTTCTGTGTCTGGTGTGTTCAAACCGATGACCCTTCGACTAGTAGTTAAGCTCATTAAACCATAGTGGCACCAGGACTGCTTTTCTGGGTCCTCTAGAGCCCCAGAAGTCTCCCCAGGGTACCCTAAGCCCACCCCAGTCTCTTTTCTTTCCCTGGGGTTCATCAGGGGTCCTTCTCAGGGTCCCTTCCTGTGAAACCTTCTGTCTCTCCTCTCCCCCCCTGCCTTCCCCAGTCTGGGCACCTTGAACTGCTGGACTGGGCACCTCCAAATCCTGAGGGAGTTTCAGGGAGCTGATCTCGTTGGCTGACACTGGAAATGACCTGGACCGTCCTCTTTTCTCTGCGACACCAACTTCCTGCAGGGGGAAGGGAATAAGCGTACCTCTAAGCCAGGAGGGGGTCCCTTTGTGGTGGAACAGTTGATGTGTTCATCTACTACCCATCAGGTTGGAAGTTCAAATCTACCCAGAGGCTTGGGAAAACTCAGCCACTAAAAACTCCATGGAACACCATTCTTCTCTGACAGACACGGGGGTCATCATGTGCTGGGGTCAACTGTAGGTCCCCGAGGTTAGAGAGAGTTCCCAGCCTCAGCCTGACACCACTTCTAAGGACCTAGGGGGATACCTTCAGCACTGATCTTACGTTCTGGCTGGTCCCCCTGAGCTGGAGCTCCAGAACTTGGTACCACACGCTCCCCATCCTGGGCTGCAGGCAGGGTCAGGATTTCCCCGGAGGTCATAGTCATGGCCAAAGATCCTCTAGCCATGGGCCGCAGCCCAGCACACACCACCAGCTGAGGCCTAGACAAGCCCTCCCTAGCCAGTGACTCCAAGCCCAGCCCAAGCTCCCAGCACAGCCCCACCCAGATTCTCCGGAGCTGAGATGAATGCACTGAGTGGGAGATGTGTCTTTTGCCAATATCCCCAGTGCTGGCTCCTGCCACGAGGGTGCATCCCCCTAGGCTGGGCTGGGATCTCAGGATGCAGGTGCCCCCGTGTGGACAACATCATGAAGTGCTCCCCCTTTCCTGAGTGGTGAGCCCCATCCACCAGCAGGGGTACAGCACTCCTTCCCACTCACATCCCTGCTGTTGCTTCCCCCGCCCCCCCGGGAGGGACAGAGGGTAACACCCACTTTGTCTGGGTGCTCTGCTGGGCTCTCACTTCCAGATGGGCATCCTTTGGTCCAAGCCTGCAGGCCTCCTCCAGGCAGGTTCAGAGTGAGGCTGGCCAGCGTCCGTGGGAGAGAGGGTCCCTCTTCTGCCTCCAAAGAGTCGAGGCTGAGCCTGGAGGGGAAACATGGGGAGCTGAGGTTTCAACTAGCCTCCCCAGGCCACGGAGGGCTTGAAGGACCTGCAGGTGAGCCTTCAAAGATAGGAAGGGGCAGCGTGGAGTGGAGAGGAAGACTGCTCAAGGGGTACCCATCATTTTCACCCAGGCTGGATTAGGGGTGCTGGGTTGGTGGAGATGGAGGACTTGCTGGAGTATCCCTCATCATTTCAGGGGGTGTAGAGTTGGGCACCCATCTGTGCTTTGATCATCAGTGCAGCCGTGGTTTGCACATATATGTACAACTAATGTGCAGATGCTGGGCTGAGGCGTGTGTGTGTACAAGCCTGCAGGTTGAGTGTGGGTGAGTGTACACATACAGGTGCATGGAGCCTGCAGTTTGGGCTCCTGTACAAGTTTGCCATGCACCAAGGTGCTATGCACTTGACTTTGCACAACTGGGTAAGCCTGTGTGTACACCTGTGTGTGCTCCCGGGGGGGAGGGCCCTCCGGGCTGGTCCCTGACATGCGGACACCCCTGGTGACCCTTAAGCTGATTTAGAAGCCGTGTCCTGCTCTGGCGGGGTGTCCTGGGAACAAGCAGAAGCGGGGACTGACCTCTGCCAGTTCTCGGAGCAGCTTCGCGACCTCTCCCAGCTGCGCCTCCTAGCCCGTGGATCCAGTGCCCTCGCCAAGGCGCAGAAGGGTGACTCTCCCCCAGCTTTGCTGGAGGGGGCACTGTCTCTGGTTCTTGCAGATTGGCCGTGGGAATGGGCCCCCAGGCCCAGGTCCTGGAGGTACTCGCTGCCTTGAAGAGCCCCCAGGTCCAGGCTGAGGTCCTCAGAGCTCTCGTCCAGCTGTCCCAGAATGCCATCTTCTTCCTGTGGGCAGGTGTGAGAAAGAGGTGCTGGTGAGAGTGGCAGAGCCTGCAGCCTTCTGACCACAAGGCCCCCCACTCCCCAACACCAGACCCTGTCCACCCCTCTGTCCAGCCTGGGCTCAGCGCCCTGCTCCTGGAGAGTGGGGTGGAGCTTCTAGTGCCCCATCCAGCCTGGTCCCTTTAAGATTTCTCCCCCCAAAGTGTCAGTGTCAGGATTCTGATTCCACTAGAACTAGTGGCTTTAAGGCTCTGGGAAGACTCATTTGCAAATGCCAGTTGTGAAGATGCAGGTGAGGAGGTGACTGCGAGGGACTGATGCCCTTGCCCGGAATCTGTGCTCAGTTCCTAATGACGCCTTCAAATAGGGGCCCTGGTGGTGCCACGGTCAAGTGCTTGACTGGTACCAGAAGGCGAAGGTTGAGGCCGTCAGCTTCCATAACGATGTTGGCCTTTGATTCCCTGTGGGTCAGTGCTACGCTGTCCTCCAGGGTCACTATGTGTCTGAGTCAGCTTGACAGCAGTGGGTGGGTTTAGTGCGGTTTGCATAACACATTCTGTTTGGGTAAACACGACCCTGCTTGGAAATAGGGACTTCACTCTGTTTTGTTAATGAAGTCACACTTGAAGAGGTGTGTTCTAACCCTAAATCCTTGTGAGTTGTAAGAAGAGCAGAATGGACAGAGACACATGAGGGGAGAGGTGATGGAGGCAGGAGTGCGGACACAGCCAGCAATGCCCAGGGCCGCCCCAGCTACTGGAAGCTGAACTCAACAAGGACAGACCTTCTCCTGGACACAGGCCCTGAATTCAGACGTCTGGCTTTCCGATCTACAAGAAAAATCAATTTCTGTTCTTTCAAGCCACCCTTTTGTGGTTATTTGAAGGAGCCCCAGTGGGGAAGTATTGGCGAGAATGAAACCAGTTTGCTTTTTGAAGGCAAGGATTTTGAGGCTCACGTGCTTTGGGCATGTCCCCAGGAGGGACCAGTCCTTGGAGAAGGACATCATGCTTGGAAGGGTGGAGGGACAGTGCAGGAGAGGAAGGCCCTGGATGAGCCAAATCAACACAGTGACAGTCCCAATGGGGTCAGGTGCATTGGAGACAGTGAGACTGGCTCAGGAGAGGGCAGGGGTCAGAGCTATTTTGCATAGGATTGCTATGAGTTGTAGACAACTTGACAGCACATAACAACAGTGGCGTAGTGTGTAAGACTGGAAACTGAAAGTCCAGTAGTTTGACTCCACTAATGGTAAGGACTTGTGCTGCCATCCCAAAGGCACATGGTTTGAATCCCCCAGCTGCTCTCAGGGAGAAAGATGAAATTCTCTTCCCATATGATTTAGAGCCTCTGAAAACCCACTGGAGGGTAGCTACGAGTCAGTTCCCGCTTGACGGTACACAACAACAACAGTCTGTATGAGGGAGGAAGATAGGCAGTTTCCTCCTGTAAAAATTTACAACCTGGGAAGTCTGGTGGGGGCTGGTCTCTATGAGTGGGAATTCACTTGGTGGCGGTTTTGTGGAATTTGTGTTACAGCAGTCCTACGACGCTGAGACAGTTATCCTGGGTGTAAACGGCAACATTTCATCCGTCAGCCACCTGGCCTTTTCCCTGGGCTGCTCCAGCCTCCCCCATGGTCTCCTAGACTCCAGCCTGTGTCACTAGATTGAAGAAATTAAGTCACTAATCGTGGGCACAAAATTTAAGAAAATGTCTACAAACGTATCTCATTATTGTCAAGTGTTTCCTGACTTGTGATGGCTTAACAGGAAGAGACAGTTTCATACTTCTTCCAGGCAGCTGCAGGTGGACTCAAACCACTGACCTTTAGGTTAGCAGCCCAACACACAAAGCACTATGCAGCAGGGCCCCTTCCCAGACATAGGTTATCACCACTCTTCTTTATTTCCATGGATTCTGGGCGTTTTCTATAAATGGAGTCATATGCTTTGTGATGCAGTATCTTCACGAATCGAAATGCACACAAGATTTGTTGAAAAAGAGAAATAAGATATTGTCATGGGTTGAACTGGGTCCTCCCCAAATACAGGGATGTGGTGATGCAGTGTGGAAGCAGTGTAATCAACCCCCACGATCTGAAAGGCCAAATGGTTGTAAAAGTATCAAGGGTGGATTGTAAGCGGCACTCCCCTAGAATGTGGCCTGTGACACCTTACATCTCACAAGAGACAAAGCATCACCAGAGAGAAGATCCCGGAGTGGAGTGCGCCCTGTGGACCAATGGCCTGGGCTGGGAAGCTCCTCCGAGTAGGGGAGGGCCAGGACCCAAGGGCATCTCCTGGGAACGCTGGGCCTGCAGTGCTTGAAGGCAACACCTTCCTCCAGAATCAACACAGACAGACAGACTCCAGAAAGCCAGTGCCCTGATGCTGGACTTGCAGCTTCTTAACCCACGAGAGATCCAACTTCTGTTAGATGCATTCACTTGTGTTTCTGTCACAGCAGCAGTAAAGAATTAAGACAGCTAACAGTCTATGACAAGGTGTGGAGGGCCCTTCGGTACAGATGGAGAAGGAAGCCAGTGTGGAAGGTCTGTGGTCACCTCAGCGACCTTCACCCTGCTCCATCACACTCTGTCCCTAAGCTGCTCTTTTGTTATCTCAAAGGTACGAAAAACACACTCTCACTAACAAAAACACAGAGAACTCTGTTCCCTTGATGGGATGCCATGCAAAAATGCAGGGCTTTAGGGAGCTCTGGGGGCCTAGTGGCAGGAAGCTGCACTGCAATCTCAGAGGTGCATGGTTCAAATCCACCAGATGCTGTGCTGGAGAAGCAGGGACAATCTCCTCCTGTACCAGTCAGATCCGATTTGACAGTACAGACAAAAATAACGAAAGAAAAAAAAATTAAACAAAAAAAAGAAGGGCTTTAGGATTTACAGCATAGGCTTTGGGAGGTGTGGGCCATCACACCAGGTCTGGCCAGGCTGCCAGGTTATGGGGGAAGGAGGGATGCTTGCATTAGGGCTGGGACATCATGGAAGAAGCCTCCAGTCTTGGAGACTGCCCTCCAATCTTGGCAACTGCCAGGCCTCGGCTCCACTGAGGGTCTCGGCTGGGAGGCGCAGGGTCCTTCCCTGCCTTGGGGTGTGGCAAGAGGTCTCCTCTGCTTCTGGTCTCTATCTTCACCCTTCTTGAGCTCTCTGCGGTTTTGGGCTTCTGGAACCACTCCCTTCTTTCTTTTTTTAAATGGTAAAACTATCTAAGAAGATCCTGAGTGGTGCAAATGACCAATGTATACACCGCTACTCAGTGAAAGGTTAAAGGTTTTAGTCCACTCAGAGGCACTAGGAAGAAAGGCCTCCCTCCCTTCCTCCCTCCCTCCCTCCCTCCTGTCTTCCTTCCTTCCTTATTGTGTTAACTCTTCACTTCTGAAAACTCAGCTCTGGATGGCTGCGAGGAGCAGCGGTCTACCCTGACTGGGCAACTGTGAGTTGGAATCTACTCAACAAATGGCCTTGAACTACAGACAGAAGATTTGCCCGTCCAACCATTTAGACAAGTCCAGGCAAGGAGCTCTGGTGGTGTTGCACGGCTAACCCAAAGGCTGCATGTCTCTGGAGGTTCAAACCCATGAGAAGGGGGCTCCATAGGTGAAACAGCCTTGGAAACCTGGTGGTAGATCAGTTCTGAGTCGGAACCAACTTAACTGCAGGGGGTGGTGTCTCTGATGTTCAGTGACACGGTGACATCCATCATGTCCTGGTCCACCACTACCCCCCATTTCCAAATGACTCCATCACTGGTAACAGATGTGCAGGCCGCTTTCCAAGCAGTGTCTTTACCTATTAAATAATAGCTCCTCTTCTCTCCTCCCATCCACTAAAACTGTGGAAGCGACGTCTCTGAATTGTGTTGTTGTTGTTGTTGTTAGGTGCCATTGAGTCGTGTACGACAAACAGCCACTCTATGGACAAAAGATCTGAACTCTGATCTATGCTGCGCCATCCTCACACTTCCTGACACACAGAAGCCCATTGCAGCAGTCACCGTGTCAATCTACTTACTTGGTTGAGCGTCTTCCTCTACTTTGCCGACCCTCCACCTTTCCCAGCATCATGTCTCTTTCCAAGGAATAGCCCCTTGTAGCAACATGTCCAAAGTATGTGAGGTGAAGCCTCATCATTTTTGCCTCCAAAGAGCAGTCTGGCTGCACCCTCTCCAGGACATATCTGTTTGTTCTTTTGGCCATCTGTGGGATGGCTGTTCAAATGCTGTTCTCCAACACCACAGCTCAAAGGCATCAATTCTTTTTCTGTCATCCCTGTTCATTGTCCAGCTCTCAGATGCATAGCAAGTAATTGCAAAGACTATGGCCTAAATCAGATGCACCTTAGTCCTCAAATTGACATCATTACTCCTCAATAATTTGGAGAGGTCCCTAACTGCAGATTTTCCCAGTGCAATGCATCTCCTCATTTCCTGACTCCTGGTACCAAGGGTGTTAATTGAATATGCCATGAACTGCTAAAAGAACCAACAGATCTATCTTGGACGAAGTTCAGGCAGGGTGCTTCTTAGGGGTAAGAATGATGAAACTTCTCACATAATCTGGGCATGCTGTCAGGAGGGTCTGTTCCCCAAGGATGACATCATGCTTGGAAAAGGAGAGGGTCAGCGAAGGAGAGGAAGGTCCTCAGTGAAACAGATCGATACCGTGACGGCAGCAATGGGCTTACACACAACAGAGATTGTGAGGTTGGTGTAGGCTTGAGTAATATGAAGTGGCTGTAAATCGTAGGTGAGTTGATGGCACCTGACAACTTATATGCCCCAGTTGCCACTAAATTGGTTCTGATTCACAGTGAACCCTCCTATGCATGTCAGAGCAGTATCACACTCTATAGGGTTTTCAGTGGCTGATTTTGGGGAATCAATCAGCAGGCCTTTCTTCCCAGCATTTCTATTATCATATTATTATTAGGTGCCATCAGGTTGAGTATGACTCATAGCGACCCTATGAACATCAGACCTGAA